ACACACACACACACACACACACACACACACACACACACACCATGTTTTTAATCCATTCAAGTGTTGTGGACATCTAGGCTATTTCTAATGTGAATTGAGCTGCAATAAACACGGGTATGCAGTACATTGTAGTTTTTAAAAAGAAATTTGTACAACCTAGTGCTCTCAGAGAGGCAACAGATCATCTCTACTTTTACACAAGTAAAACCATTTCCAAGAGATTAAGTGACCCAATTAAAGTAAAAAAAAAAAAACAGGCAGAAATTAGGGTTCACATGAAGTCCGTATCATTCCTAATCCAGTAATCTTCTGACTAAAAAAACAGGAAAACGACTAAGAAGATACAAAATACAAAGCAAAATGCATGACTCTGAAATATTTGGGGAACAGTGTGAAATAGTATTTTACCCACATTCTTCACAAGAGGCATTAATTTGTCTACTGCCATTTGTGCAGGTGAAAGGTTATGGGACGTTTCAATACCAGTTTTGGAGATGGCTTCATTTTGGTGGGCTTCTCCGATTGGCCTCAACTGGAACTATTCTTCTTCATTTTTATTTTGATTTTCTACTCACTAACTCTCTTGGGAAACACCGCCATCATTGCTGTCTCCCGACTGGACCCTCGACTGCACACACCCATGTACTTCTTCCTCTCCCACCTCTCCTTCCTGGACCTCTGTTTTACCACCAGCACTGTGCCCCAGCTCCTGATCAACCTTCAGGGACGTGACCGCACCATCAGCTATGGGGGATGTGTGGCCCAGCTCTACATCTACCTCGCCCTGGGCTCCACTGAGTGTGTGCTCCTCGTGGTGATGGCCTTTGATCGCTATGCTGCTGTGTGTCGGCCACTACACTACACAACCATCATGCACCCTCAGCTTTGCCATGCTCTAGCTATCTCCTCCTGGGTAGGAGGCTTCATAAACTCTCTGATCCAGACAGGCCTCGTGATGGCCATGCCTCTCTGCGGCCACCACCTGAACCATTTCTTCTGTGAGATGCCTGTATTTCTGAAGCTGGCTTGTGAGGACCCAGGAGGAACAGAGGCCAAGATGTTTGTGGCCCGAGTCATAATCGTTGCTCTTCCTGCAGTAATAATTCTAGTCTCCTATGTACACATTGCTCGGGCTGTGCTGAAGGTCAAGTCAATGGCTGGGCGCAGAAAGGCTTTTGGAACATGTGGGTCCCACCTCCTGGTGGTTTTCCTTTTTTATGGCTCAGCCATTTACACATACCTACAGCCCATCCACAGTTATTCTGAGAAGGAGGGAAAATTTGTGGCTCTTTTTTATACAATAGTCACCCCCATTCTCAATCCTCTGATTTACACCCTGAGAAACAAGGATGTGAAGAGTGCTCTGTGGAAGTTAGTAAGGAGAGGCAGAGACTTGGGGCCATAGAGGAAAGAAGGTCAATAATATTTAGCTAATAACTCTTGGATCAAGGATTCTTTCTTGCTCCCTGAAAGGCTGCTCATCAATAGGAAACCACCCCTCTGTGGTATTAGAGCTTTAATGCCTTCCTAACTTGGAAATTTCCGATAGGACACCTTGAAATTTCCATAGAGGAAAGAAGGTCAATAATATTTAGCTAATAACTCTTGGATCAAGGATTCTTTCTTGCTCCCTGAAAGGCTGCTCATCAATAGGAAACCACCCCTCTGTGGTATTAGAGCTTTAATGCCTTCCTAACTTGGAAATTTCCGATAGGACACCTTGAAATTCTTTCTAATTCATTTCTTACAACCATTGTTCTTACAGGTGTAAGTGCTGATTTTTTTTTTTTTTAGTAAGTGCTCATTTTTATCACAATTTTTTAAAGCAGTGAGGTTGGAAAATGGCTATATCATGGCAACACATGGAGACAGGGCTTGGGTTCTTGGTAAGAAGAGAATGATCAAAAACTTAATTTGAAATGATAATGCTTTCAGAGTCAATAGGTTTAGTAACCTATGCAAGTTCCTAGGTGATGATGAGAGCTCGGCTTCAGTAACCTCAAAACCAACTCTTATTATAACCACATAAAACTCTCCTCCTCTGACAGGAAATTTTTAATAAAAGAAGTGTGAGGCTGGAAAGAAAGTTAAAGTGGAAAGAATAAAATATGAGTTTAATGTACTTCACAGTTTTGCTTCAGTTGAAAGCTAGTCAGAGAATGCTAAATTCTTCTCAGTAACACAGATTTTGGTTGGAGGCATATTTATTTTCGTGCACAAATATCCAACAATAATGGCTCTCTTTTCTTGATGTCTTAGCCTGTTTAAGTACAATGCTATACAATGTACTACACTGTCATTTTTATAATACAGATAGGTTTGCATTTCAGTATAAATTAAAGAAATCATTTTCCTCTCCCAATTGGTTTACTGATCAGGAGTCTGAAATTTCAGTAGTGTGATTAGGCTGAAGTCACCTAGACATTAAACGGAGCATCAGGAGTTGAATCTGGCCTCTTCCATTCTAAGTCTGATCCATCTAGCCATTCCCTAAGTATCCATGTTTTATGTATAGAAGGTGAAGACACTAACCAACAATCTACATGGAACAATTGCTTTTTTTCTTCTGTTTCAAGATCTAAACAATTCAAGTATATGTGTTAATGTAAAGAAGAAATGGAAATTATTTGAACTACCTGGACATAATTTAATGAACTTATTTTGTGGTTAATTTGTCATTCTTTCACTTGGCATTTTGAAAATATCATTACCCAATTATATTAAAAGGAGCATACCCATAGCTGAGCAATATAAAGAGGCCACTGGTACGAATGGCTCACACAGCCACTGTTTTTTTGTTTGGTTTTTTTGTTTGGTTTTTTGTTTTGTTTTGTTTTGTTTTTGTTTTTTTTGGTTTTTTTTTTTTTTGGCAAGAAAGATTTTCTGTGAGGCAGATGCCATTTCCACGAGATACCTGCCAGAGTCACTGAATTATTTCCAGAGGTGTCCTGCATGGAGCAGAATATTACCACCTTTGCACCCATCTTCACTGTCTCTTAGAATCCATTTGGCTGCCATTCAAAACTTTTTCAATTGGTCCTTTATTTGGTAAACCACCTAAACGGTTTTTTGGTTTTTTTGTTTGTTTGTTTGTTTGTTTTGTTTTGTTTTGTTTTTGGTACCGGGGATCGAACTCGGGTCCCTGCGCTTGCCAGGCAGGCCACCGAACCGCTGAGCTAAATCCCCGGCCAACTAAATGGTTTATTCACCTAGAAATAATCATACTGGTAACACTTAAGTATGGCTCTTAGCTATGGCTGAAAGAGAGATGTGGGGGAAAGGGTTGTATAGAATTGGCTCTTGAGAGGGTTTACTGATAGTATCTGTACTTAAAATCCTTAGTATAACATTAAGAACAAAACAAAGGTGCCCACACTTTTTTGAAAAACCAAGGATTAAGGGCCAGAGATTTAGATCAGCGGTTCAGTGGCCTGCCTCGCAAGCGGAAGGACCCAAATTCAATCCCTGGTACCAGAAAATAAACAATAATAAAAATTAAAAAATTAAAAACCAAGAATTAATTAACATCAATGACATTCATGAAATTTCTCATCAGGAGGGATGAAATATTAAAATAGTAAATATTAAATGAAATTTTAAAGTATTAGTTCAATGCTCATTTTATCATTTTATATGTTGCAAAGGAATAACATAGAGTAATACTGGGAGTAATTTAGGGTCTGAAAAGTACCCATGCATCCTTGGCAGATTAGCAGCTTGGTCACTCCCAGAATATTCCCTAACCTACTCGGCCCGTGGCCAAATCTACTGGTAATGCACAAAGAAAACGAAATGAGACTGAAGCTTCTAGCGAGGTGGCCTCCTGTGTGGACCCAGTCGTACCCATCACAATGCATCACTACGAGCAGCTCTTGGATACTCCCGGACCCTGAGCAGAAGGAGACAGCAGACACATGGGACACCCTTCCCCACCATGTGCCCACTTTAGAGTCTGCTGTCCTTGGAGCAGGGTGTGGCTCAATGCTCCAGGCATCGCAGTTCTCTCTGTTCATCACAGTGGCCCGATGAAACCGTGAACTCAGAGTTATGACCTAGAACAGTGCAACCTCTCTTCTGAGAGATGTCATGTACTTTACTAGGCCTGGAAATAGCCACTGAAGGAGGAAGAGGATAGTGGAGAAACAAGAGGAGATAGTGGAGAACCAGACAGGGCAGATCTGGTGACCCTGGACTTGAGACCTTGGCACATTGCTCAGAAACACCTCCCTCCAATGAAAGCAGCGCATTACACCATGCTCAGGGAGGATCTTCTAGACCTGGATTCAAATTGGTTCCAGTGGTTCAGAGAGTGAAGGCAGTGATACAACTGCATGAGCTCCTCCAACTCCAGGATTTGGAATTTTTCCTGGAGTTACTTTTATCACTGCTGAGACAAAATACCCAACACCCAAAATTAAAGGAGGAAAGGTTTATTTAGCTTTCAGTTCATAGTTGGCTGGCTCCCAGGCAAAATGCCACGCAGAGGGGCATTGCAGCACAGGGAGGCAGAAGGCAGCAAGCACCAAGCATCACACAAAAAGCAACAGCCCTCTTTCAGTCTCTCAAATTTTATCCAGGCTCCTAGCATTACATCTTGAATCAAACCCAGCATCACACACCCTACCTCCAGCCAGCTGTGAAAAGCACCACCTATGACTGAATTAGGCTTTGGGGGATGTCTAGATACAAGCCACAACACCTTCCTATCAAAATTCCGGTGGCATTTTTCACAGAAATATTTTTTAAATCCTAAATGTCATTTAAAACTGCAAAAGATCGCAATAGGAAATTTTAAGAACAAAGCTAGAGATATCATATTTATTAATGTCAAACTATATGCTGATGGTAATCAAACAGTATGATATGGGCCTAAAACAGATGCACAATGTTTCAGTGGAACAGAATATAGAACCCTGAAATGAACCCATGCATATATAGTCAACTAATTTTTAATAGAAAAGCCAAGTCTCTACAATGGACACATAACAAGTGATGTTGGGAAAGCTGAATGTTCATGTGCAAAAAATTATATTGGATTATTTTCTCAAACAAAGTTGAAAAGTAAATTCAAAGGGAACTTCGAAGATTTACCTTAAGACTAGAAAGTATAAAGATCCTAGGGAAAATTCTTTGGCCCTGGCCTCAGCAATAATTTTGGGAATTTGACAGCAAAAGCATGACAACAGATACAAAAATAATGAAATGATGCCATATCGAGTTAAAAGGTTTCCCCACAACTAAGAAGCAGTCAACAAAGTAAAAAGATAACTCACATAATGGGAACAAATATGTATTTCCCACTTATCTGATAAAGGGTTAATATCTAAAGTTGATACAAATCAATAGCACAAAAACAAGCCAATTCAAATATCAGAAATGGATCTGCACAGACATTTCTCTGAAGAAGTCATATAAACTGTCAACAGACATATGAGCAGATATTCAACATCATTTATAATCAGGGAAATAAGTACAAATCAGAATCACAATGAGCTATCTCACCTCACACCTCTTAGGATGGCTATTATAAAACATCAGAAGATGACCAGTGGTGGCACCCATGGGAGAAATGAGGAATTTTGTACCTGGTCAATTACTAAGGAATGTTTCTAGAAAAGTAAGGCCATTATGGAAAACAGTGCAGAGAATTTTCAGAAAATTAAATACAGAACTACCATATTACCCAGCATCCCACTTCTGGATATCTACCAAAAGGAAAAGACTATCTCAAAGAAACATCTGCACTCCCATGTTCACTGCAGCATTAAAGATATAAAGTTCTCGTGCTTTATAGCACACGAAAGGGTAGATAAAATATGGTGTGTGTATAAAATGGATTATTGATTACATCTTAGTAAGAAGTGAATCTTACATTTGCACTAACATTGATGAACCTGGAAAAAACTATGCTAAGTGAAATAAGCCAAACCCAGAACATGTATTTCTCACTCATACATGCAATTTAAAAAAAATATATACAGTCAAACTCATTGAAGCAAAGAGTAGAATTGGGTTGCTGCAGGCAGATTGCTGGATGAGAGAAAAGAAATTATATTTGTCAAAAGGTACAAACATTCAGGTCTAAGATGAAAAAAGTACTTTTTTAGATCTCTCGTATAACAGAGTAACTAGAGTTAATAAGAATGTATTGTGCTCTTGAAATTGCTGAGAGTTGATGAGGTGTTCTCAGCATGAACAAAAACAATGGTTATTATTTTAAATGACGGATATGTTAATTGGCCTGATTGGGGCACTATATCCTTGAACTTGATGTCACATATATATAGATATAGATAGGTAGGTAGATAGATAGATAGATAGATAGATAGATAGATAGATAGACAGACAGACAGATAGAGATATATGCCAGGTGTGGTGGTGCACACCTGTAATTCCAGCACTCAG